AAGCCCTGGGTTTAGGGTTTAGGGTAAGAGTCCTAAACCCTCAACCCGAAACTCTGAAAGCTGTACATAAACCCTGGATTTAGGGTTTAGGGTAAGAGTCCTAGACCCTCAACCCGAAAAGCTGCATATAAACCCTGGGTTTGGGGTTTAGGGTAAGAGTCCTAAACCCCCAACCCGAAACTCCGAAAGCTCTAAATCCGAAGTCAGAGTCCTAAGCCCTCGAAGCGAAACACCCCGAAGTCATGGACTCCCAAGTCTTAGACCCTAGACCCTAAACCCTAAACCCTAAACCCTAAACCGTAAACCCTAAATCCCAAAGAGCCGGGAAAACCCAACACCTCGGTTCTTGCGACTTCCGTGGCTCAGCGCCTTCAGCGGACTTGGGAAGTGCAGCGATACTACGGTTTAGGGTTTAGGGTTTAGGGTTTAGGGTTTAGGGCTTAGGTTTAGGGTTTAGGGTTTGATGATAGGGTCGTTTGAAGGGCGGTTGTGGTGGCTTATGCGGCTTTATGGGGTGGTATAATGTAGCGGCCTTAATAGTTAAACTAGGATTTTGTGGCATATATATATATATACTATAATCATAATAAGGAACACCTAAAACAGTATTGGCAATTATTTAGGCCCCTAAATTCGGGCTTCTCAGATGGAGGGTTTGTCTTCGGTTTTTTGGGCTTGGGGGTAAGGGCTTGCAGGATTCTTGTAGTTTAGGGTTTGGGGCCGAAGAACTTACAGTCCTGAAAGCGGCTCAAACATGTTCCATGGTACAGAACTGCTACTACAAAGTCTGCTAAACCCTAAACACTAAACCCTAAACCATGGTACACATCAAGCTGAGGGGAGTGAGCCGGCATCCCTCTTGCAGCTTCGCAGTGAGAAAAACAACAGCGACTTTATGCTTGCCTTCGGGTCAGGGTTTAGGGTTTAGCGTCAACCCCATCAACGCCTGAACAAACACCTAATCTCTAGACCCTAAATTCCAGACCCCAAGCCCCAAAATCCAAACCCCTAAAAGCCTAAACCCTAAACCCCTAAACCCTAAACCCTAAACCCCTAAACGCTAATCCCTAATCCCTAATCCCTGAACCCTAAACCCTAATCCCTAAACCCTGAACCCTAAATCGTAATCCCAAACCCCTAATCCCTAAAACCCTAAACCCTGAACCCTAAACCCTAATACCTAATCCCTAAACCCCTTAACCCTGAACCCTAAACCCTAATCCTTAAAACCCTAACCCCTGAACCCCACACCCTAACCCCTAAAACCCCAATCCCTGAACCCTATACACCCTAAAGCCCCTAATCCCCAAAACCCTAAACCCTCATCCTAAAAGCCCTAATCCCTGAACCTTAAACCCTAAAACCCTAATCCCTAAACCCCTAATCCCTAAAACCCTAAACCCTGAACCCTAAAACCCCTCATCCCTAAAACCCCTAGACCCTGAACCCTAAATCCTAAAACCCTAATCCCTAAAACCTTAAACTAGTCCTTCCCAAAGATCGTGGAATCCCGAGCTCCGAACGTTGAGGAGCCGCCGCCCGCCGTCGTGGCTCGCCAAGACTTCATGGAGCCTCGCGAGGGTTTAGGGTGTAGGGTTTAGGGTTAGATTTAGGCCTTAAGCCCTAAACCCTAAAACCCAAACCGTTTAGAGCTTAGGGTTTAAGTGATTGGCATCTTAGGCTTTATCACCCGGGCATGAGGGGTTTAGGGTGTGGATTTAAGGGTTTCGGGCTTTGATGATGTAGGGTTCCGGGCGTCTTAGGGCTCGGGGTTAAAATTTTGGGGTTTAGGGGGTTTAGGGTATGGGGTTCAGGGTATGGGGTTTCGGGCATCGGAGTTTGAGAACGTCTTGTCAATCTTTTAGCAAGAGGCTTTCAAACAGGCTCTCTGCAGGCCTTGGAGCAATGTGAATCAGGGTAAACCCTCAACCCTGAGACCCTAAACCCTTAAGCCCCAAACCCCTAAACCCTAAACCCCTTAGGCCCTAAACCCTAGACCCCTTAATTAGGCCCTAAACCCCTTAAGCCCTAAACCCCTGAACCCCTTAAGCCCTAAACCCCTAAGTCCTTTAGGGCTCCAATGTGAATCCGGGTTGGGTCTGAAAGCGGATTGGCCTCGGATTGCTATAGCCTGCAAAAAAAACGGTTTCGGGCTTAGCGTTTTAGGGATTAGGGTTTAGGGTAAAGGGGACTTGTAGTGCTTAGGGTCATGCGCCTTGGCACAACTGAAGAGTTTCGTTTAGGGGGTTGAAAGTTTGAGTTTTTGTGCTACTTGTATGAAGAGCGCAGGGCTTAGTGTTTCGGGATTGAGTATGGTGGAAACTGCTGACTGATATTTACCTCATATGCCTTAAACTCTGGAAGTTGTGGTCTTGTGTGATCTGGATAATGCAGGATTTGCCTATCGGAACTACGTGAAAGGGTGTCCACTGTTGAGGCTTTGCTGGAGTTCACATGAAGGTACGGCTGTAGGGCTTCGGAGTGTGCAGGGGTGGTGGGGGCTGTTGGGGGTGGGGCTTCAATGCTTTGGGGTTTCGTGGTTGTTCGGTTGTGTTTACCGCGGTCTAAATCGACCGATGAGCATACGAAGGGATTCCACCCACATGTACATCGGTTGGCTTGGAAGGGATGGGCTGGGGCTGGGGCTGGGAGCTCGGGTTGGGGCTGGGGTTGGACTGGGGGTCCATGGTGGGTGCGTTGCCTTGCTCCACCTGAAACTGAAATTGGGTTATTAGAAATGGGAAGGCTGTGTCCCGACCAAAAAAATAGATTTCTGGATGGCTAACAGCAACAAGCAATTTCTATTTATGGTGAACGCCGGAAAGTTAGAAGATGCGCATCCAACTTTCCGGCACCCAAAACACACGGACAGCGAACTTAGCAAAAGCGCAAAGTTGGAAGATTCGATTCCGGACCAACCGTTCCATTTTCCAGCTTCCAACTGTTTGGCGTTCCCTGTATTTCTTTCTTGAGGGTTTAGGGTTTAGGGTTTAGGGTTCAGCAGCTCCGGACCGAGCAGTTTTATAGTAGAGTTGTATTCACCGTCTCGATATAACACCCACCCACCCT